GTATTCATATATATATCATTGATAATATATATATATATATATATATATATATATATATATATATATATATATATTATATATATTTATATATATATGTGTATGTATGTATGTATATGTATTTGTTTCCTTTGTGTAAATAACAAAGCTATAAGTAATAAGTGACCGCAATAAGAACTCGAAAGGATGACAAACGTATTGAAGGACCGACCTACAACTGGAAAGCACGGAGTGATAATGAAATGGTAGAGAGAGAGAGAGAGAGAGAGAGAGATAAGGAAAGAGAGAAATGCTTGACAGGCTGCTTTATTGACAAGAAAGCTGTTGACACTTTAACAGATAGATAGATAGATAGATAGATAGATAGATAGATAGATAGATAGATAGATAGATCGATCAACACAATGAGATAGATAGATAGATAGATAGATAGATACATAGATAAATATATAGATAGATAGACTGAGATAGATAGATAGATAGATAGATAGATAGATAGATAGATGATCAACAGAATGAGATAGATATATAATGGACAGAATGAGATAGATAGATAGATAGATAGATATAAACAGATGAATGAGATAGATATATAATGGACAGAATGAGATAGATATATATATATATATATATATATATATATATATATATATATATATATATATATATATAGTGATAGTGATATATATATATATATATATATATATATATATATATATATATATATATACCGAGAGAGAGAGAGAGAGAGAGAGAGAGAGAGAGAGAGAGTAAGTAATGTAAACATTAAATATTGCTTAAAGGCGAAGATGTGTTTACTCGTCCGAACGACTCATAAAATGTTGCAGTAGACAACGCCTCCAGTAACAACAACAATCCGGTGGATGTTCAGACAATACTAAGCATTTTTCAAAACGAGAAACGTGATATGGGAGAAAAAGCCAACATCAAGAATTGCTAAGTTTGTAAAAATATACGGAAAAACAAGAAGGAATAGTGTATCCAAAATGGGAGACATTCAATAACAATGACAATAAATTTTCCGTCCTGATAATTTTATAGGGGAGCTTCCATCCCAGAATAGTGTGATATTTTTAAAACAGATAATGTTAAAAGGGAAATAATAATATTCGTCCTCTTCCTACCTTTGTTCATTCTGTATTTCGTAAGGGACACTTTGATCTCTCTTTAGGTCACCAATCCAGCCAGGGAACCGTCGTGTAGATCTCCTTGGTAACCGCCTCTGACTCTTCTGGTTTTACATCCTCCATGTGTATTGCGTGTGCAACTTTCAGCTGTGTTTTCGCATAAGCGGTTGTCCGCTTTTCTCCCACCGAGTTGGCGTAAAAAAACAGCGGAGATCGGCGTACATGTAAACGTCTAGAAATTATAATGGACCTAGCTCCGAGAGGCTTTGCGTATTCACATGCGTGTGCACACGTATGTAAAATAGTACTCAGGTCTGTTTTGTCGCACACGACTTTATTCATATCCCGTCACCGTATGATTGATGTGACTAATGCTTTTAAGGAGTATCATTGTGTGAGGTTCGACAAAGTCTGATCCTGCTTGACGCACGAATACACACACACAAATATCTTTATTTTTTTTATTTTATTTTTGATTGCGGTATTTTTGCAACGCGGGAAAAGGAGAGTAATTTAAGCGAAGAAGAGTCGGGGGAGAGTAAGGAAAACAAGAGAGAGTGATCCATCGGAAGGAATACTACTACATTATCGTGTTACAGCCATGAACTCACAAGGTTGTACACACGCATACATTCACGCATACAGTGATGGGTGCCTGCTGTAGCAAATTAGTTCCATCTTTATGGGACACTTGATTGCTACGATAAACTAATCATAAATTACTAAATATCTGGATTAATTCATTGTTCTTTTTTTCTTTCTTTTTTTTTTTACAGTTTATCAATCTTTTGCATGTTATTTAAAGCCAGAAAATATTTTTAGATTTTAAGAATTTTTTTTTTTTAAGATGGGGTTAATAATAATTTTACTAATCCAAGTTACCTATAACTTTAGGGAGGTGGATTCATGCCTTTCTCAAAAGGCATTTGCGCGTAAGTGACTATAACGAACACGACTTGAATTAAAACTTTTACAATTCCGAGCTGGTATCCATTACACGAACCGAACATCCAAGATTAGAGCACTTGTTATTTGCCAACAGTCACCCATCTCGGTACTGATCAGGCTCGGCGTTGCTTAACGTCGTACGAGAACCGGTGTTTCAATGTGATCAGGCTATAAGCCTTCGTGCATGTTTGCCTGCCTGCTTGCCTGCCTGTCTATCTATCTATCTATCTATCTATCTATCTATCTATCTATCTATCTATCCAATTGTGTTCCTATCCATCTATCTATCTATATATATATATATATATATATATATATATATATATATATATATATATATATATAAAATATATACGTATATATATATCTGTGTGTGTGTGATTTGTATTTCTTTTGTCAATAGTTCC